TTTAAGGTCATTTTTCCATAATTGCTGGAATGACATTTTCCACTAACATCCATCTTGACGCATCCCTGTTGATTAGATCAATGATCTTTGTTACTAATTCCCCTTTTTTCTCGTTCTTTGAGTTCCCAAGTGCTGGCTCTTTTTTTTTTTTTTTTTTTTTTTTTTGCAAAAGGGAAAATGCCTATTTTTCCATCAAAATGACTTCCTTTTGTGCATTATACTAAGGTTTAGCAACTGCTCCTTGGAACATTAACTTGGGAATGAACTTGGATGATTGCATAACTCTATGTGGTCCTTTTTCCCCCTTTTTCTAAGTATGATCTATATGTTTTCTTTATCAAAGTAAACCACTTTTCATTAGTGTGGACTATGTTGTACATTGATTGGTTCATTCTCTTTGTACCTGGTGAATCACCTATAATCCTGTTGAGAATAAATCTGAGCCTCTCTATTCTATTTGCTGGTGTAAGCTTTGGCTTTAATGCATTTGTGTGAGGTCTAACATCCCGTCTCCTCACCATTCTTTGGGTTGTGCTTTTCCCCACATTAAGCATTAAAGCTAAGTTTCATTGGCAATATGTTTCCCATTGCCACTGCTCAGATGTCCTCATTAGAAATAGACACTCTTTTTCTACCACAGTTGTGGAAGCCTGTTGACATATTGTATTGTCGCTTTGCTTGCCTTCGTTGCTTCCCCTTTTTCCATATTACGAGTATAGTTCTTGTTAACAGATTAAAATGAATGGCACCTTGTTGAACGGATCCACGTTTAAGCTTTCCATATGTTGATCTGGTCAGCAGCCATAACAATATGTTGAACTGTCCCCACTACTAAGCCTCCTCCTATGTAATACCCCGTATTTTTAAAGGTATTTTCTAATTAATTAATTAATTAATATTTTCTAAAAGGGTATTTTAGTAATTTATTTTCCTAATTGAATTTTGGAGCCAAAATGATATTTGAATTTCGACGCCAAAAGTATTTAAAAACTTAATTATTATTTATGGATTTTGGATAAGATTTATTATCCATTTATTCTATTTTAAAAACCGAATATATATGTATTTCGGATATTTTAATTAAATAAAATTATATTTTATTATTTATTTAAAAGGGCTGAATATTCCTAATTTAATGAGTATGATTTTCGGATTTTCTATGTGTAGAAAAACTGATTTTTTTTAGTTATTTTATTTAGTGAATAATTGGTTTTTTTAATTAGTTATATTAAACAATAAATATTATTTTTTTAGCCTAAAACCTAGCATAATAATAAACACTACTTATATGGTCCAAAAACTTGGAGCTATGGAAGCTTAAAATTTTCGGCCACTTTGGTTGGATTTTGAGTGATTTATTTTGGTAAATTGTATTTTTAATTATCTCCTTAAAATCTCTTATTTTTCATTAATTTTATTTCTCCATCTCCTAAATATTTGATCATCTTATTTTCCTACCTTATATCTTCCTTGATTATTCCCCAAGTAATCTCTTTTGTCATATTATTTTTCATGACAACACACTTTCCTTAAATTAATTATTGTTAGTTACCTTAATATTAAACTTTCCATAATTCTTTAGCTCTCTTCTACAAGTAATTTCCTTAATTTTTTGTGCCATAATTCTTCTTACATTTTCCTACCATAACTCTTTCATTCATGAGCCTATAAAACCCCCTCATACCTCTCATATTCTTCACACCAAAACCCAATTCTCTTCTTCTCTCTAAACCTTTTCATACTTTTCTTTCCAATTTTTTCATACATAATCAACCCGTATACATTGGAAGCTAATTTTTGGGTACTTCTGGTCCGTTTTTGGGGTTTTAATGTTTCACAAAAGATTGTTTCTATCAAAAACTCCTTGAGGTTAGGCTCAAGAATCACCTAATTCAGAGTTATATTGAAGGAGTTATGGCCTCTGCAAGTTCTACCTATTCTTTCCAACGCAAATCCAATTATCTTTAATCATATTCCTTTATTTTCTTCATGGTTAGTTTTGTAAAATACATATAATTATTTCAAATCTATAATTTATATTAAAGTATTATTTTAAAAGTGTTTTAAAGTTCATGCACACTAGTTTTTGGTTTATGTTGTGCTAACCTTATGGTTATTTTAATTGCAAGATGTATTCATGATTGAAATTTGAATGTGCGAAGTGTTAATTGAGATTTGAAATCAAGGTACGTTTAGGTGGCTATATACTTTTGAAAGTGATTATTTGAATAACATATTTTATATGATTTATTGGTAATTGAATTAAATTGATTTGAATTATGATTTATGAAATGAAGTTTGTGTGGAGGTATTGATTTTATTATTTGTTTTAATAAATGTACTTTTGAAGGATTGATTTTCATATCATGTTTTGAATGGTATGAACTACTTATTATGTTTAAATAAAGAAATTGATTTGAAAATTTTGATGAATGAAATAAAAGGTTTATCAAAGGACGAGTTATTGTTTTTGAAAAATTATTTATATGAGATTTAATTCTCAATTATTTATTAATATGTTGATTTTTGGAAGCATGATGTTGAATTAAATAAAAATAAATTCTTAGTTAACCTATTATAAAGGTTGATTTTATTCAAAGAGGAATATTATGAGGATTTATTGATTTATTTATTTAATAAAGCTTTACAAGCATGTTTATTATATTAATCCCACCATGCAGATTCATTGAAGACTGGCTATGGACTTTGTATGACCTATTCTTTCTCCAAGAATATCCTTGAAATAGTATGAAACTAGCTTGGGGGTGTGCACACTTAGAGATGAGATTGAGTTTTTGAAAATAATTGATTTTATTAATCATTATTATTGAGTTATTAGAATCGTTTTGAGAATATTCGGGAATTAGTTTTGAATCATGAGTTATTATTGGAATTGATTTTAAAAGCATGTTTGCAAATACATTGAGTTTACTTATCTTCTACTTATCGTATTTAGCATATTTTGCTAATCCGTATTTCTTTTTTGTTTTGTTTCGCCCTGTTTATCGTAATGGTCGATAAGCAGTATTGACTATTTTCGGGCGGGGTTATGAATGAGCATATGAGAGTCCTGGGATTTACTTCAACTAGTTTAGTAATGTTTGTTTTATTTATATTTTGAATACTCATAACAATGTTAAAATTTTTATAAGCATTAATAAAAGAAAGTTGAGTTTTCCGCTGCAAGATTTGTTATTGAGTTTAGTATTTTGAGTAGCATCGCGTAATTACGCGGCGGTAACACTCCTAAGTCTACCTCTACGGTATAATTATACGTATTATACTAGTATTTCCGTAGAGGGAGATTTGGGGGTGTTACATCCTATGCTGATGATGACCTTCAGAATGTTGTTGGTTGAATGTTGCCTGCTCATTATTGTTGTTGTGTTGACCTTGTTGTTGATCTGATCCGTTGTTGCTTGCTAATTGTTGTTGATATCTTTTGTCTCATGCTGGTTGCCTATTGGTTGAGCTTCCTCTATTGCACTAGGGGAAGTGCAGGCGTCATTCGAAGTGCGCCTACGTTAAGCATGTTGTGAATATGCTTGGCACTCATAGGAATTGGGAATTGACATACGATTAGGGACACGATTAGGGACAAGGGAAGTAGGGAGCCGCCAACAAGTTTTTAAGGAACTTGTAAACCGTTCACGGATCATAAAAAGGCAACACGATAAGGGACAACGATTACTAACTCCATATGGTTCGGAACCACAAAAGGAGGATCGGGGATGATGGTACGAAGTGAGTCATGGAGTCACCTTCGCCCGTATTGGCCTCTACTCGATTCTTATTGTGAAAAGTGATTCCTGCGATCTCAAATGCATGCAAACAAAATATTCAATTTGCTCCAAACTATTATTAGGCTAAATTGGTTGAATATTAATGCAACATATAATTCTAAAATATTGTGATCACTTGATTTAATAACAAGATTAAAAAGGAACCTAAATCGGTCGTCCAAATTATCTTATTAGGCGTGATTTTCAGTTACATATTCCCTTTAAACATGCAATGTGGTGATCAATAAATATAATAGAATAAACATTAATATTGGAAGCAATTCAACAATAATAGCGTTAGTCAAATAAAATAAATAAGTCTAATCATGATACTAGAAATATTAAAATAAAATAAGAGTAATTAAATGAATTAATTACTCACATTCCGCACGTTCCTTTAAATTGCTACATCATGAATACACTGTTAGTAACTTCAATAAAAATATAAAGCAAATTGAAATATAAATTAAATAAATATAGATTTGATTTGGTCCAAACCCTTAGTTATTTATACCTTCCACGCCTTGGTTTAAGGACGTAACCTCGGGTTTAATATAGACTCTCTGGAGTGCTTAAGGGAAGAATGGTGTAATTAGGAATATAGGTTCACTAGTAGAAAAACTGCTATTTGTAACTGGCGAAATTGACTTTTTGTAACTGGCATTGTTGGTTGCGAATGCCACCGTTACAACTAGTGAAATTTATTTGTAACCGGCTAATGTTAGTTACAAATAATGCACTATTCGTAACTGACCTAATCTAACGCTAGTTACAAAAAGTCTATTTTCCAAGTTAGAAAGCATACTATTCGTAACTGGCATTACGTTACGCCGGTTACAATTAGGGTATTTTTAGTAACTGGCAAATCTAAATGCCGGTTACAAATATAATTTTTTATTTTTTTAAAAAATATATTTTTAGTAACTAGCATTAGATTACGCCAGTTACTAATAAATAAATAATTTTTTTATAAATATTTTATTCGAATACAAAAGTGGTAGTATATCCTACCAAACGACCCATCGTCAAATGGGTTACAACCTGTTATAATTCAACCAACAAAACACGCACTCTGAATATACTTCCATGTAACTTAAATTCACCTACAACATACAATACAAACACTCCAAATAATTCCACAGAACTTGAATTATTCATCCACAACCATAAAATACAACAAAAGTAACTATACTTTAATTTCCAAAAAACAATTAAAACTTGAATAAAAAATCATTGATTTATAATTTAGAAATGTAATAACAATAACCAATAGGCTAAATAAAAGTAGATATATAGAAATGTATTATATAGAAAAGTAGATAACTAGCCTTTCAACAAAAAAGTAAGCCTAAAAACTTAGCCCATTGTCTCAAATCTCATCTAATTCTACATCGTTGTAGGCTGCAAGTCTTGCCAAATACTCCTGCAAATATAAAAATATAAAATATAAAAAATACTTGTCTATTATACTTTATAAAAATAAAACATCATCCAAAACTCGTATAAAGCATTTTAGCTTGTAAAGAAGAGGTAAATTCATCACTAACCTCTTTCAAATTACCCTTGCAATCGCTATGGAAAGATATTATCTCATACATATATCTCATTACCATTCGGTTTATACCAATTCATTATCCGTCTTTTTGGTCAAAGTCATAACCTTCAAGAAAAGATAAATATTAATATAATTAAGTTACAAATATCTTAGATCATTACGTGCGTTCAATGTATTACCTCATCAATAAAGAAGAAGACTAAATCTGCAAGCCACCCAAAAAATAACCTTCCGCTTGACCCAACTTAGTGATACGTCATCAGTCTCTTCTGGGAGATTTAGGTAAGAATAATCACTATAAACATGGTCAACACTAATTCTGTAGATGTCACGGTTCATTTTCTTGTTATGAGTCACTCAACTAGGACAAGGTTTTGCCGTTCCATCGGCCACAATCACTGAGTTCCCACGGAACTCATCAATTAAAGCAAGACGACATTTAATTAGTTGGGACCTACATAATAGTGCATGTCGTAAGAAACATGAAAGCATAATCCACAGTTTACAACTAATAAGTATGAGTAGTAAAAAGTTCAAGATCACACATAAATATAAGCAATCAAATAAGTTCAAGATCACACATAAACATAAAAGGTGGGAAAACCATTGTGGAGTTGGACCCTGTAAATGATTTTCTCCCAAATAAAACCAAGCTAATTGGGTCATATTGACAATCCAGTGTGGGATTGGACCTGTTAAATGGTTTTCAAAAAGATTGAGATATGAAATCTTAGTGATATTAGCAAGAAAATACAGATCATTCATATTGATCGAGTTCAAGACAAAAATGTGACCTGGCCTAAGGCAGTCAGTTCTTTGAGCTTAGGCAACCAGGAGCACATGTCTCCAGTTTTCACATTGAGACTCGAAATGCCAAGCATTTGAAGTTGAGTTAAATTTTTCCAGAGAATTGGCAACCCCATAGCCTCAGTCTCTCTAAGGAACCAAAGTTTCTAATGGAAGACGGCAACTCTCCAGATAAAGCAGTGGCAGAAAGGTCCAGAATTTTACGAGGGTGGGTGCTTGATCGAAACTCAGGAAGATGTCCAGTTATTTTCCTGTTAGAACTCAAAACAAGTTTTCCAAGATTCGGCAGAAGAAAAACACTACCTGGAAGTTCACCATATAAATTACAGTACATAAGAGAAACGACTTTTAAAGAAGTTAGATTAGTCAAGGAAATTGGAAAAGTAAAGGATATGTCAACCCAATCAAGAAAGAGTTTCTTTAATTCTGTTAAATTCTGTACCAGATTATGCAGATTAGGATTATAAAGCTTATTAAGGTGAGTACTTTATTTTGTATAAAAAATACAGTTACTGACAAAGGTTTGAAGAAAAGAGATTAAGGATATATCATAGCCCTTGCACTCAACAGGATGTTGCAGCTTGATATATGGAGTCAATTCATTTTAAAAGAGGTGGGGGAGATGGAGTAATGCATTAGCAGATAAGCCAGATCAGTGAAAATGCCTAATTAGTACACGACAACTACTTTCTTTATCAAATATCAATATATTCTGCAATGACCATAAACACACCACTCAATATAACTCATACTCAAGAACTCATTGCATACTAGATATGAGTAAGTGTCCTAAGCATCTTTAACCAAAGAGAATCAAAAGTTCATAGCTCCGTACCCATGTCAATGTCGAAGACTCAACATGAGGATTTGAAATAAAGTAAAAGGTCCAAATAACAAATATTATACTAGAGTATACAAAGCAAGTTCCAATAAAAGTAAGATTTAACTAACAAAGCCCTAAATTGCAACCAAAAACAATCCAGTTCTAATTTTCAGTTCTGAATTCAGCTCTGAGCTTCAGTTCTGATTTTCAGTTCTGAATTTAGTTCTGATTTTCAATTCTGATTTTCAGTTCTGAGCTTCAGTTTTGAATTTCAGCTTTGAATTCATTTTGAATTTCAGTTCTGAGCTTCAGTTTTGAATTTCAGCTTTGAATTTATTCTGATTTTCAGTTCTGAAATTCACAGGCTCACAGCAGAAGCCTTAGAGTAAGTTCTTGAGTTTTTTTTAGTGTTTGAATATGATTGAGTTGCATGAATAGAAGCCTGAGGTCTTTGCAATATATTATACAAAAGGTGTTCATGTATTGATGTACGGATTGTGAGAAGTTGAACTAGGCTCTGTTATACAAAATTATTGTCTATTTTTTCGCTCCCAATGACCTTGTTTGGAAAATATGAATTTAGTCTATTTTTCCCTAGGCTTCTTTCTTTGTACAAATACTGCTTTCATGTGAAATTGGCCTCTGGCCAGTGGGCTTGGGAGGGTTTATAAGGGTCAATCAAGGGGGGGAGGGGGTTACAAGTTGGAAGTATGGCTTGGACTGATTCAGCAACCAGCTGAGCTGGTTTAGATGGTCCTAGTGCTATTAACAGAAACTTAATGAAGCAATCTATATAGCATATGCTTTTCCAACTGCCAAGGAACTTAGTTTCCTTTATCACATGCCTATGAGTGACTAAAAATTGAGTTCAGTAGCCAGTTAAACCTGGAAACCAATCCAAAAAAAGCACCACACATTAAACCTGGAAACCAATCCAACAAATTCCCCACACATTATGACTAAAATGGAATCAATAGAAAAATAAATTCAAAATAACAAGGCCTAACTCTAGCAACAACGTTATCAATGTCATGTCTTTCAATGCCAATACATTCAAGAGACAACTCAACGTCCTTTTGATAACAAAGAGCTTCTCAATCTATCACTAGTCACCACTACATAAGGTTCACATATCAAACATACAAAACATCAACTGTTACGCAAAAGAGCATAAGATAAATAAATGTCAGCACTACTATGATTGAAAACACAATTGTTTCTTATTTGCTGGCTCTGCCATAAACCATGTCATAAAGGTTCTAATCAGGTTTATTAATGGATTCTGAAATATCTAGACAGATTATAAAATGAAACAATTTTTTTCATAGGAATTTAGTTTCCAACACATCGTATATATTTTTTTTTATTATATAAGAATGCTCACAGCAAAAGAATCTAAAGAACATAAAACTTGAACATCTAATAATCATTTTTTATAAATCTAACTAAGTAGCTAGTGACCAATTGCGAAAAGCAATTAAATATTTCTAGTAAAAGACCTTCTGATAAAAGTTATTATCAAGGTTATAAAGCTATATCATATAATCGTAAAATGGCTAAGTAACCAATTGCAATATTCACCATCAAAGATCATAAAAAATTGTACACAAAAGAAACACCTTCATAAACATTTATAAATTAAAATCACGAAAGATGATAAAGATTATTTCTCTCACCTCATGAATTTTTGAGAAGTTCCAAAATTACAAAAACAGTATCATTCACATAACCTAGAGGCCTCGAACTTTTTTGCATGGTGCAAGCCACCTGCCCAATTAATCACAATGTCACGAAGCCCATGGTTCAATTTGACGGCACCACCAACTGAACCGCCAGCATAAGTCTGACAAAACGAGTACAGACCACCAAATAGAGGCTTCACCAACATTAAATAAGGCCCGAGTGGGTAATGTTTTCACAACTGCTAATTTAAATCCTATATATATATATGGACAAAGATAATTCGCTACCTGCTATTTACTCAAGCGTCCACTTTGAGAGACAAAGAGAAACCCCTGATGCGACTTCCATATATTTGTATATGTTTACCAGATTGTCCATGTGAGGAACAGGGCAAATTTCTGCAAAACGAGAAAGAAGACATGTAATTAAGATAGTCATATTTCAATACTTAGGAACACCCAAAACAGAACAATACTCAATATAATTAGCAGCCTCCAGGCTTATACCAAAACCATACAATAACGCATAGCTAAATAACCCAACATTAACCTCGAATTTCAATCTAATTAAGGTTATAGATTCGACCACAGGAAGATTAATTTGGCGAAAATCATTTTGATTGACAGTGAAATAAATGTAATTCGAATAAATCGAGTGTAATTTGATTAAAATTGCTGAAATTCGATAGAATTAATTGCGCTAAAAAAAAATCAATTGAATAATTTGCCCTAAAATAAGAACTTTGAAGTTTCTTTAATCTACCTAAATTTCGAATCAAAATACTGAAATTCGAGGAATATATGATTGAATTATAACTACAATTTAATTGTAAAATTCGAATAATGAATATATCCTGCAATTATATTTTCGAATCAAATTCCTACAGAAGAGGAATAATTCGAAACTCACCTAGTTAGTACAGTGGTGGGTGGCGCAATGGTGCAGCAGTGCAGTGGTGCTTTGATGGGTGCGGCGGTTCGCCGGTGTGCCGGTGACTACGGGCGTGCGTCAGTGGGTTCGGCAGTGCAAAGACTGACTCTTCTTTCAGAGTAAATGAGGTGAAAGGGAAATTAGCGTGGGATGGGATATATTTCTCTTTCATGAATAGATTAATTTAAGGGTAAAGTAATTCTAATATCTTAAAAAAAACTCAAGTAAAAAAAAAAAAAAAAAAAAAAAAAAAAAAAAAAAAAACTGAACCCAGATTCGAAAAACCAAAACAATACTGAATGGAGTGAAGAAGAAACTGTAGGAGGAAGAAGGAGTTTTTACCAGTAGCGCGAGAAGTTGGAGCGAAAGTGGAAAAAATAAAAAAATTTAAATCTTTTGTTTGTTTTTAGCCAGAAATTGTTTTCCCTAACTTCAATAAATATTAAATGAAAATTAATAGGAAGTAGTAACTTAATATTTGTAACTGGCGTTTGTAAGATAGTTACAATTTTTTTAGTCAAAGTTTCTTTGACTTAATATTTGTAACTGACATTTGTAAGCTAGTTACAAACGCTTTGGTCAAAGTTTATTTGATTTAATATTTGTAATTGGCGTTTGTACACTAGTTAAAAACTTTTTAGTCAAAGTTCCTTTGACTTAATATTTGTAACTAACATTTATTTAGTCAGTTACATTAAAATTTCAAACAATAATAAAACACATATTAGTAACTCACATCTACTACGCCGGTTACTAATATAATGAAATTTGTAACTGGCATTATCTTAGTCGATTACTATTGATGCTTTCGTAACTAGCCTAACATACGTCATTTACTAATAGGGCGTTACAAATAGCATTTTTTCTACTAGTGATTTAAGGCTTAGGATATGGGAGAGAGAGAAGAGAATATTTTTGGTGTAAAAGAGAGAAAGAAAGAAGGATTTGATGATCAAGCTAGTTTATGATTGAAAAAAGGGGAGATATGACCTCTATTTATGGAGAAAAAAGAGGGCCGAAGAATCAAGAAAAGATAAGAATTCGAATCGGATAAAACTCTTGCGATAGATAGCAGTTTTTGCGGTTTTTATTTTTATCATATCTTTTGATCCAGAAATCGGAATAAGATAGATAAGATATCGTTGGAAATATCTTGAAGTCTACTTTCTAACCTAAGGGTATTCATATTAAAATATTTTATAGAATAAAAGATATACCCAAAATAGTGAGACGGTATCAGTTTTGGATAGAGTTTGATATTTTATTCATATCTTTTCCGTTATAGCTCGGAATTGATATAATATATCATTGGAAAGATAATTTCAAGGGCTATCCAACCATATAAAATTTGGATAAAAACTATGAGGCCCGAAAATAATATTTGCCTATCTTTGAATGTCTTTCAATTCGGATAGAAATAGGATTTTCAAAAAGAAAAGTTTTATTCAATTTCAAACTGTTTAATCTTCTCTTTTCAAAAAGGATAATTAAGATATTTTAGAAACTTATAGAACCTTTTAATTAATCCTAATTAGTTTAGGAATGGGATTAAATAATTTGGACCCTCCACATGATCATTGGGTCGTAGGTAAGGTGGACTTAGGTTCGATTTGGGCTCAGTTTAATATTTTGGCCATAACTTATTCGTTATAACTCGGATTTGGGCTTATAATATATCGTTGGAAAGCTCTTTTAAAGCCCCATCCAAATATTCAATCATTAGACACAGATTATAGACCAAAATAAACAGAAATAAACATTTTTATAAAAAGGACACGAAATGAATGATTTTAAAGGACACAAAATGAATTATTTTGGGTTTAAAGGCATGAAAAGAGGAAAATAAGTTATGGTTTGGGGAAATGGGCTAGGAATTGGGTTGGTTTATGAAATGGAAATATGGATTTAAGCACTCCAAGATTAAATACTCAACCCGACCAATAATGGCGGTGAAAGGTTGTTCATCATCGGGTTTGGTTTTGGGGAGACATTTTTAGGTGTCTACAGGAAGGATTTCATTTTAGGTCAAACCCAAGGTTGTTTTGGATATTTTATGATTCATATCCATCTTCATATGGATTGTAAGCAGAGTTGAGATCATACTAAAAAAATATTATGTGTTTCAGTATCATAAGCAGCAACATCTTCATCCATTTCTTGATTCAGATCAAATATGAAGTTTGAAGCCATTTGTGTTTGGAGGCAATGACATTTTTAGGGGGTGAATTATATACATTTTTTTTAAAGTTGCATCTAATAATCTTTGTCTGTAATTCCCTCTCAAATGATTTTAAATTTTGAGGATGAATGGATTTTATAACTCTAGTACATGAAAATGTTGGAGTTATTTAGATTTCTTATTCATTAATCTATGTAATTTAACTCTATTGGATGGCATAGTAATTTCTGCCAATGTGATTGGTTTAAAACAAATCACATGGATTAGTAATGCACTCCCTTATTTTAATTGGTTGTGTAATAAATAATAAAGCCAAAAGAACCAAGGTTTTCTTCTTGTAATCCGCCTATTATTGTTGAAGCTTAAAGGTTTTGATGATGATGAACTTAAACTAAAGCAAACTCAACTAATAAAGGTTTATAAGTGTTTGACTAGTACAGGTGAAGTTGACCTTGGAGTTGGAAGAGTTTCTTGAACTATGAAAACATGAAGAGACCTTTATTGAAAAGTCAAACGATATAGAAGAAGAGTTCTCTAACAAGAACTAAGCTCCTTAACAGGAATGTTCCGTAACATGAACTTGGAAGATGTAAGCAGAAGACAGTAAGTTCCAGAAGGAACTTAGTCTGCGAAGTTCCAGTTGAAGACTGGAGATCAAGTGACAGCAGGAACTTGTTCATGGTCTGCGTGAAGCCCAAGTAATTCAAGTTTATAGAAACACGACACAACAATAGTAATTTAGTTAAGATTATCTTCTAGATTTATTGTTAAATATGTTAAGTAGATATGCACGAAATCTATTAGAAGCGTGATAAGATAAATTAGCAAATATGATAAAATTCACTACGTGAAAAAACACATTTGGCACCGGTTCAAACCCGGCCTAAGGCACCGGTTTGAACCCGTGCCTATGTTGGGGGTGCCAAATACCCCCTATTTGGCACCGATTCAAAACCGGTGCCATAAACAGGTTTTGGCACCGGTTAACCGGTGCCAAAAATACTAAAAAAATATTTATCCTCCTTTTGGCACCGGTTAACCGGTGCCAAAAATGTCCAAAATTTTTTTTTTTTTTTGGTTTTTTTTCACTTACCAATAAAATCAACTGAAAAAAAAAATAACAATTCACAACAAAAATCGAATTGGTTTCAATATATATAATCCAAAATTTACAATACATAATGAAATCCAAAATTTACAATATATAATGAAATCCAAAATTACAATATAGATCAATTACAACTAACATTATAAATAAATAAAAAATTACATTATAAATCATAAAAAAATTTACAACATGAACATATCAATATTCTTGCATAATCTGTACACACTAATTAAAACGGACAAAAAAAATTGGTAAAAATAAGCTTAAGAATATATAAAAATTATCAAAAAATTCGATTAAAAAAAATATCAAAAAATAGAAAATTGTCAAAAACGAAAAAAAAACCAAAATTATCAAAATATAAAATACAAAATAGAAATTGAAATCGAAATATAAAAAATTATCAAAAACGAAAAAAAAGAAACCAAAATTATCAAAATATAAAACAGAAATTGAAATCGAAATATAAAAAATTGAAATCGAAATATAAAAAAAAAACAAAATTGAAATCGAAAAAAAGAAACCAAAAATTCGAAAAAAACAAAATCAAAATCAGGAAAAATAAAACAAATACGAAAAAAGGAAAAAAAAAACAAAATCCAAAGTAAAAGGCAAATTAAAATCGAAACCCTAAAAACGAAATCCAAAATAAAAACCAATATCAAAAACAAAAATCAAAATCAAAAACCAAAAAAAAACCAAAATTGAATTTGTAAAAAAGAAACCAAAAATTGGAAAAAAACAAAATCAAAATCGGAAAAAAAAAACAAATAGGAAAAAAAACCAAAATCCAAAATAAAAGGCAAATTAAAATCGAAACCCTAAAAACGAAATCCAAAATAAAAACCAAAATCGAAAACCAAAATCAAAAACCAAAATCAAAATCAAAAACCAAAATTGGAGAATCGAAAACAAAACCAAAATTGGTGAATCGAAAACAAAAACAATTAAAATCGAAAAAAAAATGCTAGAACTTGAAAAAAAATCCCAGAAATTGTTGTTGATGTTGATGCCGGTGGTGGTGCTCGAACTTTGTGGTGGTGGCGGCGGCTGTTGTTGCTTTGTGGTGGTGCTCGAGCTTAGGTTGTTGCATATGAGAGGAGATCGAAGGGAGTTGAAAGATTAAAGAAGAACGAATAGAGAGAGAGAGAGGAGATCGAAGGAGATGAAATTAAAGAAGAAAGAAGAACGAAGAGAGAGAGAGGAGAGAGAAGGAGGAGGAGAGAGAAGGAAAGGATATGAAATGGGGGAATGGAGGCGGAGAGAAGGAGGAGAGATAAGGAGATCGTTTAGGGTTTTAATTTCCCGTTTTTCCTAAAAACCTTGGACCGGTTCAGTGGCACCGGTTCAAACCGGTGCCCTTTGTATTTTTGGCGCCGGTTTGATCTGAACCGGTGCCATTACTCTGGGTCTAAAATCCCGCCCATTTTTAGGGCGGTTTTTGGCACCGGTTTGGTCTGAACCGGTGCCATTTGGGGGTTGCCTTTTTGTATTTTTCTACTAGTGATTAGAAAAGATAAAAAGATAGATTTTAGAAAAAGATTTTATTTAAATTTGTTTCTTAAAATCAGTTTTATTAAAAAGATATTATTCTTTTTAATTACAGCTATTTCACCAAATGCCACTGAGAAATTTAAATGTTCACCAAATGCCATCGTACTTTTCAGAATTCACCAAATGCCACTAAGTTCTTAAATAATTCACCGAGTGCCATTAATGACTAATGGTCGTTAACTCCATTAGTCATTAGGGCTTAGCCATGACACATGTCATGATATGATTGGTCTATTTATTTTAATTCATAAAAATTAAAAAAAACAAAAAATTGAATAAAAAACAAAAAAAAACCCCAATATTTTCCAGCCACCTTCCCACCACCGCTAAACCCTAGCCCCTCCCCTTATCTCGCCAAAAAACGACCGGCCACCCCCTTAACCACCTAAAAACGGTCGATCGACCCTTAAGCATCCCACCTGACCCACCGTCGACCCCCAAAACCATCCACAAAACCTGACCCGACCCCAAATACCACCAACACGAGCTTTGATTTAAACACCCAACGTTTTCCAACCATCGTGCAAAACCCCTCTTCCTATCCTCCACCCTTGAAACGACAAAATCGACAATAGAAATC